AGGAAACGCTCCGGGGGGCTAGGGTAATATAGACTCCAGATGAAAGATGAATGAACTAACGCTAGCTAGCTATTGATGATGTACTGAAGCACACTTCAACACCAAGTTTGACAATTAGTCTCAGTCCAACAAACTTGCTGGCATGGGCACACAGGCATAGGCGCAGAGGTGATATTGGAAGACAAGGCGACAACAAGCTTTCAACAAGCTTTCCTTGTTCAATGACAGATGCACAAATAACGCTGTATAGGTCTGTGGTGTGTGTTTTCCTTCAGGCTCGTCCTTGGGTTTCTCATTTGTTTCCACCTGAAAGAAGGCTACGTGTTTCATGATTCTGTCACACCTGAAAACAAACTGTTGCTACTGAAGCAGCCACTCTGAAAAAAGTGAGAAAGCACTTTGGAGGAGTATTGATTGGGATTCAGACTCAGAAGCCAGGTGCTAGCCTTAACTGCAAACATGCACCGCAAAAAAAGGAAAGAGAGAAAATTGTGTTAGCTAACTTCAGTAGTCTATACTGGGATTAGTACCTGAGTAGTCTATACTGGGATTAGTACCTGAGTAGTCTATACTGGGATTAGTACCTGAGTAGTCTATACTGGGATTAGTACCTGAGTAGTCTATACTGGGATTAGTACCTGAGTAGTATATACTGGGATTAGTACCTGAGATTCTATACTGGGATTAGTACCTGAGTAGTCTATACTGGGATTAGTACCTGAGTAGTCTATACTGGGATTAGTACCTGAGTAGTCTATACTGGGATTAGTACCTGAGTAGTCTATACTGGGATTAGTACCTGAGTAGTCTATACTGGGATTAGTACCTGAGTAGTCTATACTGGGATTAGTACCTGAGTAGTCTATACTGGGATTAGTACCTGAGTAGTCTATACTGGGATTAGTACCTGAGTAGTCTATACTGGGATTAGTACCTGAGTAGGCTATACTGGGATTAGTACCTGAGTAGTCTATACTGGGATTAGTACCTGAGTAGGCTATACTGGGATTAGTACCTGAGTAGGCTATACTGGGATTAGTACCTGAGTAGGCTATACCGGGATTAGTACCTGAGTAGGCTATACTGGGATTAGTACCTGAGTAGGCTATACTGGGATTAGTACCTGAGTAGGCTATACTGGGATTAGTACCTGAGTAGGCTATACTGGGATTAGTACCTGAGTAGGCTATACTGGGATTAGTACCTGAGTAGGCTATACTGGGATTAGTACCTGAGTAGGCTATACTGGGATTAGTACCTGAGTAGGCTATACTGGGATTAGTACCTGAGTAGTCTATACTGGGATTAGTACCTGAGTAGGCTATACTGGGATTAGTACCTGAGTAGTCTATACTGGGATTAGTACCTGAGTAGGCTATACTGGGATTAGTACCTGAGTAGGCTATACTGGGATTAGTACCTGAGTAGTCTATACTGGGATTAGTACCTGAGTAGGCTATACTGGGATTAGTACCTGAGTAGTCTATACTGGGATTAGTACCTGAGTAGTCTATACTGGGATTAGTACCTGAGTAGGCTATACTGGGATTAGTACCTGAGTAGTCTATACTGGGATTAGTACCTGAGTAGGCTATACTGGGATTAGTACCTGAGTAGGCTATACTGGGATTAGTACCTGAGTAGTCTATACTGGGATTAGTACCTGAGTAGTCTATACTGGGATTAGTACCTGAGTAGGCTATACTGGGATTAGTACCTGAGTAGTCTATACTGGGATTAGTACCTGAGTAGGCTATACTGGGATTAGTACCTGAGTAGGCTATACTGGGATTAGTACCTGAGTAGGCTATACTGGGATTAGTACCAGCATGACACAAACAGGGCTGAGGCACACCAGGTCAGAACTGTTTATGCTCTCGCTCCTTCCACACTCACACAAGCACACACACACACACACACACACACACACACACACACACACACACACACACACACACACACACACACACACACACACACACACACACACACACACACACACACACACACACACACACACACACACACACACACACAAACACACACACACACCACACACAAACACACACACACACACACACAGTTAGAGTGGATGGATGATGCCATTCTGTGGCCGGCAGAGTTAGGTGAGTCAAATAGAGGGCTGGATGGGAGAGTTTACGATGGGAGAGCTTATGCCTAGAGGCACCAGGGGACTCATTGACCATAGCTGGGCCAGTTCACTTTCCATTAGGAGCCCTCTCACAGCCTCAAAGAGCCAAGTAAACACACACACACACACACACACACACACACACATACACACACACACACACCAGAGAGACCTACACCAGTTCAATATAAAGTGACTGATTTATATCCACTTGCTTTCCATTTGCAGTGAGATTGCACAGTAAACCACATCCTGCCACAGTCTTTCAGCACCAGACCACCACTATTCATCTCACACTGAACAGACCTATATGCTGCATGGGGAGAATGGATGGTCTCCCAAATGAAACGTTTCACTCCATTCCTGTAGCTTGAAATCATTAAAAAAAGAAACATAATTTTTTACCTGTAGAGTTTATGTTGAAACGATGAGTTCAAGTAGAATCTAGCTGAACACAGTTGATCAATCAGAAATGAATTATAGGCCTACATTTTTTGCAAAGGCAGACCTACAGGATATCAGTGCCTATACAATTTACGTAACAATTAATCAGTAGATCAGTATATATATATATATTTTTTAGTGTAGAATCATGAAAAACTGAAGCCATTTTAATTTAGCAATACAACTGGTGACATTTCCTTATGACATGGCCCGTGTTTGTTTTGATCCAGATACTACAAGGCGGTGCTGCGGTGCCACACATTACCATGTCACAATTTACCTGTCCTCTAACCCACTTCCTCAGACAATGTCTACAGTCACAGCAGTCAAACGCTGTGAGACGCAAAAAATGCTATCTCACAAGGTCGACAGGCAGGCAGGCTGCCACTGAGCATCAGCCACACAGACAGTGACGGGTGGCAGCTCAATGCTTACAACGGAAGACAGACACAGGAAATGGGGAAGAAGAGGTGGAAAACATAGGGAAATTGCTTTTCATATCAATGATGACTTTCAGTATCTATTATTCTACAATAACAATTTCTGAAATGTCTTTCTCTTGCTCACATTCCTCACATTCAGCTGTGTTTATAATTTCAGTACATTTATGTGAATACAGTGTTCTAGATGATATTATCAGTATATTAATGTGAATAAATAACCCAAAATGTGTCTTCATTTTAAAAATTTCTCCCTTTCCAAAACCAAAGCAAGTTGCCTTCCAAAGGATTGTCAGACTGATGGATGGTAAGTGAATGTTTAGCCCTGATAAAATGCCTCATATTGGAGAGTTTTTCACTCTCCCATGACCCTTTGCTGGACTGTCAGTCGATCTCCAAGCCTCTAATATTTATGTTTAGTAAAAAACAGAAACACTACATCACTAATATCATAGTCCTACCTGTAACTTATGTTTCTATCTCCCCATGCTTACCTGTCAGGTACCACCTTTTAGGCATACATATTATATTATAATTATATTACATTTTATTATATTACATTTTTTACAGCCATTGTATCTATGCTGAGGGTCTCATGAGGCTGTAGTTACAATTAATAAACTCACACTATATTCAGTATTTCACAGCAGCACATGTTTCCAATTACAGCTGAAGATAATTTAACATTCCTTTCTAGCCAAGAGGAACAGAGCTAGAAGTGTGAATACATTAGACCTTACTCTCCTCTCTCTCTCCCTCCTTCCTCACTCACTCTTTCCATCCTTTCATACACCTTCCTTCACACAGGGTGCTAACTGTATTCTCCTGCAATTTGTGCATCAAGACATTCATCCATCATGGCATGTTTTGTTTTTATGGCCAAATAAAACATCTAGACAGGCCCCCTTACATTCATTCACTCCAAGTGGATACAGCCATATGCATGCCAATTTGTGAAAAACAAAACAAAATGTCGGAAGATATCGAATCGTACAAAAACACACCAGCATAAAGAATGTCTTGACAAATGTACAAGCACTGCAGTTTCCTTACAACTGTCCATTGTGACTTACTGTAGACAAACCCTTATGTTGATTGATGTACTTCTGGAAATGAAATACTATATGTGTGGACTACACATGCCCTCAGCACAACCAGAAGGTCCAAGCCAACAGAAATTGTTTAAAGGGGCAGTCTGGGATAACATTTTGTAAAAAAATTTAAAAAAAGATTCTAACACAAAAATATATAAAGACATTCATTTCATTACACCCAGAATTTTTTCTCTGGCGGCAGATCGGAAAAGTTAAACCAAGGAAACAACTCAATCCTACTTCTCTTTTCCAGGATATTCTGAAAAGAGAGCCACCAATCTCAATTCAATTCAAGGGGCTTTATTGGCATGGGAAACATATGTTTACATTGCCAAAGCAAGTGAAATAGATAATAAACAAAAGTGAAATAAACAATAAAAAAATTAACAGTAAACATTACACAAAAGTTCCAAAAGAAAAAAGACATTTCAAATGTCATATTATGTCTATATACAGTGTTGTAACGATGTGCAAATAGTTAAACTACAAATATGAATGGTATTTATAATGGTGTTTGTTATTCACTGGTTGTCCTTTTCTTGTGGCAACAGGTCACAAATCTTGCTGCTGTGATTGCACACTGTGTATCTCTCTCTCTCTCTCTCTCTCTCTCTCTCTCTCTCTCTCTCTCTCTCTCTCTCTCTCTCTCTCTCTTTCTTTCTCTCTCTCTCTCGCTCTCTCTCTCTTTCTCTCTCTCTCAGAAGTTACAGTTCAAGCATCAGGGAAAATGGATTTTATTCACTGTCCTGGGCTGGTGCGGGGGCGGTGGGGAGCGGTTGCTGAGGGAGGCCCTTCAGATGGCTGACATATTTTTGGAGAACCACAGAACCGCTGGCTGGCGTAGAGAGCGCTGGGTTGCGGTGTGGTGCAATGCTGTTTGTCTGTGTGAAGCTGGCATGGCCTCCTTCCTCTGCTCCTCTGCATCTGTTCGTCATTATGTTAGGAGGGGAGGGTATAAAGCAGGGTGCTGACGGGGCTGGGCCCCAGTGCCTGGACCATCATGGAGGCTGCACTTTGGGGGTGCCTAAGTTTGCTCTGTCTGCAGGGCAGCTTTCTCCAGCTCACACATGGTGCAGACTGTCCTGGGACATCACAGGGGGAGGACTGTGTCAGTGGGCAGACCACCGGAGGAAAGGTAAGGGATTGGAACTCCAGGTTGTTCTGTTTTGTGGATGAGCTCCTTTGATCAGGTACAAGGAGTTGAAAAGTGTTGGTACTGAAAGGAGAGATCAGGGGTGAGGGTTTTTTGTACGGATTTTATTATGTATTTCATTATTTTCATGATGAAACGTGTTGAAATGGCTTTTTACAAGCTATTCGAAACACTTCCCCAGACTCTGCAGTAGCAACATTAGCTCAGAAGCCAAAGAAAGCCAGTAACTGCTATGGAATGCTTTCTGTGTTTCCATGTAGTGTGTGTATGTATAGTGGTTGAGGATGTGATATTTTGAGTGGAACACATGCATGGACTTAAACAGAGTTACACATTCCAGTAACCTGGAAACATAAACTTATTTTAGTCAGGGACAAAGTCTCATTGTATTGTAACCTAGTCTCCAGTAATACTACTACCACTGCCCTCGAAAAGACCCTCGATGGAACAAACTCTCTGCAGACTTTTCGTGTGGCCACAAAGCTGTTTGAGCTGCCATATTTGCAGTCGACATTCTTTGTGGACATTCTCCACGTTCTGTCCAACATAATCATCCTCATCTGGCCAATAGACACAGCAGATGCAGCATTTCAAATGAGGATTTTCACCAACAACATGAAAGACTTTGAGTCAAGATGTGTTTTCCGTGCGGGAGGTTTTATGAGTTTTGTGTGTAATTATACTATTACAGAGTGTGCAGTTATAAACTTCAGATGTGGTTGGAGTCTCTTTAGCCTTGGGCAGCATTATTGAAGAAATCTCTGTTGAATTCAGTGCTGTGCCTTTTGCCTCAAAGGTCATAGTGAATGTGGATAATGGAACAGTGGTAATTGACGGTGCTCGCCAACAACTAGCACAGAACAAATGGGCTATCCAGAATGTTTTCATAATAGCGAAATGAAAAAAGAACAGGGAGCCTCCTTGTAATGAGGGATAGGTGATCCTGAAGAGCACACCTTGTGCACTGGAGTGTGGGGTGTATGTACGGACCTTTGTACACAGTATGGCGTCCATATTAGGACAGCCATATCAGTCTCAGCAGGAGTTGTTTCAGTCTCAGCAGAAGTTGCCTCAGGGAGAGATATGTTTATGGAGGAGATGTACACCATGGAAGGGGAAATATAAACTTTGTTCTAGTGAAGCCTACTCCTAACTCCAACAATATGATCACTGTTTTACCTCACTCATCCTAACAGGATATGGTTAATGAATTGTCTCAGTTAACCTAATGGTAACACTTTAAATTATGATTATTTTATTTGTATTTCCTCTTTTTTTTTGGGGGGGGGGGGCACTTGAAGTTACTGTTATACCTGTGTAATAACAATGTAATTACACAAGTAACGACATACAAACATGCAACATAACAATTTTGTAATTGCATATGAGTGGGGTTGAGGTGTTACATATGTGGAATAAAGAATACATGTTGTTAAATGTTCGTTTTTTTCACATGGTAAAATTCTCTTCTCTCAGAATGATGGGCTTGTGCGGCTGATGCCATCTACTGCAATAAAGACCCATACCAAGAAACAGCGACAGGTATATGAGCCTCCCTCCCCACAAAGACATCCTACCACAGTCTGTTCTCTGTCACAGAGGGCTCCCACCTTGTACTGGATTACTTCCCACTCTGGGTTGGTGTATGCATGACATATGGTTGTATAATGGTAACTTCCAGGAGGCATATCATTCCAATGAGACACTAAGATCAATGCAACTAAAATGCTTGTTGTCCCAAGATATTGAATATTAAATATAAATTCACCAAAGTCATTGCACACACACACACACACACACAGACATGATGCATGTGGATTCAGTGGATAAGACATCTATCTGATGCTCTGACTGCAGCCAGAAGTATTTGGCTGCTGTTAATACATGTACATTTACGGAAGCATTTCATTTCCCCCAAACTGCATTAATGATTTGAATGTAATATCTTTCTTATGCCCAACAGAAAGGACGACCTGGGGCACTCTCTGCACTTGGTGTAAGACATTTATATAAATTAGGCTACCAAGAACTGTAATACAATACAACCAATTAGCCTTGAACTAACTAACTAACTTGAATTAACTGTAATTGTACATAGTTATGCAACACTACTGTGTGCTGAAAATGTGTCATTAGGATACACACACAAACAGTGCTATTAACATAGTGTTTTCAACGTACATATTTAACACACTTTGACATACATGAACCACAACCTCGTTTCATGGCATTCTAATCTTCCTGCTACGCCACTGTGTCTGTGTCAATGACTGACTTCACCTGTATTCCTACTCTTTGGACTTACTGGATACACTCAAGAAAAACGGTTATATGTATCATAGTGATTGAGGAGTAACATTGAAACAGAATAATATGCCCCACCAACATTAAACAACTACATAGAAAACCCTCAAATTGCTGAAATAATTAAATGAAATCAATGATGATAGAATAGTCAGATTAACTGTTAACTAAAATAGAAGTGCAGATGGAAGTATTTTGCTAAGTGCAGAGATGTACTATAGGTAATGAATGTGTAGAGGAATACTACAGACTGTGGCAGAGCAGAAGGTTCAGTGTACCCCAAATCCAGAGGTTGTGAGTTCAAGTCCCAGGTGGGGTCATATTGAAAAGTCAGTGCTAAGTGATCATGTTAAATGTAATCATATTGTCATTGATTAAAGATTTTTTACACTATTTTAGCTGAACAGCGTACCACTTACATTAAAACCCCCATATAATTTCATTAATTTACAAAAGAAAACGAATAATTTGCAGTTTCACATGTGGAAATTGCATTTAGCTGTTTTCACATGTTGAGCAGAAATGTTCACATGTAAAAAAATAGATATTATGCTTTTCATCCCTCTAAAATGGCTCCATGTTAATTAAGAATGTCATTAATGCCTCTTTTATGTCTTAATAGTTGTTGATAGGTAACGACATGCCATCAGATGTGTCATTGGACAGAAAGAAGAGACAGTCGGGGTGGAACTCCATCCTTCCTGGGTCCTTCTCAGCCAAGGGCTTCCCCAACACACTCATCGAAGTTCAGGTAAGACTGGAGAAAAGGAAGGATATGGGCGGAGGGAGGGGTCTCAAATGATCCAATGGGGCTGTTGTGTTGTCATTTTTGCGAATCCTTAGAAACAGTGGAGTAAGCAAGAATGCGATGGTGTACTGGAGGTTTTTTATCCTGAGTTGTTTTCGTGAAGCACTTGGTGTGCTAACACACCAGTGATGGCTGGTGTCATTTTAAATAGGAGGGGCTCATTGTAATGCCTGGGATGGAATAAATGGAACCGCATTAAACACATTAAAGACATGGTTTTCATGTTTTTGATACCGTTACATTTATCCATTCCAGTCATTATTATGAGCTGTCCTCTCTTCACCAGCCTCCTGTGTAACATACAGTAGCCCCTTCTAGTTTCTAAATGATCCCACGGGAATGTTGTTCCTCCAGACAGAGCGGACCAGGAGACACCTAGGCCAGTCTGGGACCAAGAAGAAGAACAAGCATAAATCCAGAGTGGGATCCTTCTCTCTCCTCAGCAACAACAACCCCAGAACCTCCCTACAGGTACACAACATTGCCATGACAACCCAGGAGCAGACAATCACATGATACCGGTCCATATGTTAATATCAAAACTTTTTGTTTAGTGAGGTCCTCAAACACACTGATGATATCATACAGTACATGTACGGTGTCCATATTAGGACAGCCTCAGTCTCAGCAAGAGTTACTGAGAGGCTAGCTTAGTGATGGTTGGTCAACCTGCATTCAGCCTTGTGTCATTGAAGTGTTACGTCATGTCATTGTTCTTCCAGGTAACCAGAGTACGGAGGCAGGTGCAGAATGAGAGGAAGAAGGTCAAGCCAAGAGGACGACCAGGAGCGTTCTCTGTTCTGGCACGACCCAGCAAATCTGCATCCTTGGTGAGACCCATGCCACCCTCCCCACATCCCTCACTCCCACCTGAGTCAATCAATCAACTAACCAGTCAATCAAACTTTTTTTGTCCCCTGAGCTAAATTCTGTTTGCAAGCATACAAAACAGTGAAAAACCAATCACACAAAATAGTTCAAAACAGTTTACCCCTCTGTTAAATTCACCTCTATCTGATTTGTAACTATCTAGTCTAAAGTAAATGTTTGATGTGAACAAATGAATAACTTGACTCTTTCCCTAGGGACAGAGACGCAAGAGGAGCGCACAGAAGAAGAAACAGACCAAGATAATTGTTTGTTCCTAAACAAGTTACTTTGCTGAAGTGCTAGTGCTTCAATAGTTCATAAACTGTACATTATATATTCTCTTTGCAAACATATTGGTTTTATGTATATTATTAATATAGTCTTTTCTGATATTTTTCTGATATTTTTAAACATCATTTTATTTTTTAAAAGGTGATTATTTGGTAATTCTGTGCATATATCAGATTCAAATGAAGTCAACATGTATGAAGATACTTCATGAGAACTTGTCCCAATATAAGGCTACAGAGGGCTGGATTCGAACCAGGATCTCCCGAGTGGTGCAGTGGTCTAAGGCACTGCATCGCAGTGCTAGCTGTGCCACTAGAGATCCTGGTTCGAATCCAGGCTCTGTCATAGCCGGCCGCGACCGGGAGACCCATGGGGCGGCGCACAATTGGCCAAGCGTCGTCCAGGGTAGGGGAGGGAATGGCTGGTAGGGATGTAGCTCAGTTGGTAGAGCATGGCGTTTGCAACGCCAGGGTTGTGGGTTTGTTTCCCACGGGGGGGGGTATGAAAAAAAAATACAAATAAATGATGTATACACTCACTAACTGTAAGTCGCTCTGGATAAGAGCGTCTGCTAAATGACTAAAATGTGTAAATGTGTGTAAATGGCTGCTGTTGCTTGCACTGTTTATTTTCAGTTTAGTCTACGACAGAGTTGGACTTCACCTTGACAAATGGACTAGAACATTTCACTGTTCCCAAAAACCAGGCTGTTCCTTAAGTCCAATAAATCTTCCCAACTCTCCCTCTCTGTTGCCCAGTGCAACACCCTGAATTCCCACACAACGGGATCTGTGAAACTGCCAGAAGTTAATTCAGAAATTGTGGATTAGGGTGGAAAATATTACTGAGCCCCAATTACAGATGGCAGAGCTCCAAATGGCACCCTATTCCCTACATAGTGCACTATGGGCCCTGGTCAAAAGTAGTGCGCTATGTAAGGAAGAGGGTGCCATTTGGGCTGCACACAGTGAATGCCCAAGGCAAGGTGGATCAGGGGCAGAGTCTAAACTAGCAGGCAAACCTTTTTGCTGAGAGGGCGACTATTCTGTAACATTTATGGGCGTTGGACCAGTATAAGCCATCTGTTTTAGAAGTCCAACTTAATTTGTTAGAAAAAAAAAAACACTTTATTTTGTATTCATTTCACCAGCGCTAGGAAGCTCATGACACCACTTTAACTAATGGAGATGGTTTGAGTGTTTTTGCAGACAAGTTAAGCCCAGCAAAGCTACTGTGTGAACTGTCAGAATGGGGGCTTGGTGACTCTAGGGCAAGGATCCAAGGTGAGGTCCAAGTCTACAGTGTCCATATTAGGACAACCTCAGTCTCAGCAGGAGTTGTTTCAGTCAATCACTGGCATTATAGCCACAAGGTAATTGTAAATACATAAACATTTATATTGTGAAAAATGCATATGCAGGTGTCCTTGCGAAAATCATGATGAATTCAAACAATGATGTGATTTTACAGCATATCCAAATCTTTATTTATATATCTTATGAGCATATTAAGGCAGTATACGTCATTTTAGTTATAAATTGCTACATTTTATAGAATCTAAAAACATGATACCCATTTTGTTAGCATCATCTGTAGTCCAGCAGACACAACACTTGTTCTGACAGATCTTCACACCATAATACAGTAGACTGCTATTCTACCACAATCACATTAAGGCAGAGCAAGAGTTGATCATAATCATGTTTTAGATATGCAAATCTTAGAATCTCTGTATGTGGAGATCTATGATTGACATCCACAGTGATTTGTAGGTGAGATTGGCCTGTCAATCAATCGCCGTCGCTCCCATGACAGATGCAGCTCCATTACGGCTCTATTAACCTGTGTTAAAACCTCTATTAACCCTTCCATTACCCTGCGGTCTATCTGAGGGCTGCCTGTGTTAACCCATGCTGTTAACCCCTGCATGACATTACAGCTTGGCCTGGGCCTTCCTCAGCTGGTCCCTGAGCTCCAGGTGGGCAATGGACGACAGGTGCACCTCGTCTGGCCCGTCTGCGATGCGCAGCGTCCTGGCGTACGCATACCTGTGGAGGGGCAAATGGGTCATATTCATTATGCACCAAACGGAAGAAAAGGGACTGAAACATGTCCGATAAGAAACGCTTGTTTTCGTTTCAAAACATTTTGGTACATTTTGCTGGACTGTGCACTGATGAATGAACCATTGTCTTACTCCATCTGAACAATAACAATGACTATTTAGAACATAGCTGATTCTGGTGATACAGCAGCATCCTAATATGCAATAGAAAAGTGTATGGCTTAAGACCTCACAGAGACAGTTAAATACCCTGTAGCCTTTAGGTGTGTGTGAGAGACAGAGAGAGAGAGAGAGAGAGAGAGAGAGAGAGAGAGAGAGAGAGAGAGAGAGAGAGAGAGAGAGAGAGAGAGAGAGAGAGAGAGAGAGAGAGAGAGAGAGAGAGAGAGAGAGAGAGAGAGAGAGAGAGAGAGAGAGAGAGAGGATACAAAGATCTGAGAACACGCTGTACCTCAGCTTCACTAATGGCCATTGATACACCTTGTAAACAAACACCATGCAATGTTAGCAGGAGGTCAAATGTCAACTTCTGTGCAATATCTACAGTACATTAGCTCCAGACTGGAACATTAGGCTAATACTGTGTGTCAGGATAGAAAGGAGTTATTAGCCTACTGTCAGATCAAAGTGTAATTTGTCTTCTGACTATCGACTCTATTAGTACTGTAGTTTCCATTTGAGACACACACGTTTCAGTAAAGCTCACTTCAACGTGGCTACTAAAAATGGTCATTGATAATTGATATGAAAAGCAATTTCCCTATGTTTTCCCCTCTTCGTCCCCATTTCCTGTGTCTGTCTTCCGTTGTAAGCGTTGAGCTGCCACCCGTCACTGTCTGTGTGGCTGATGCTCAGTGGCAGCCTGCCTGTCTGTCGACCTTGTGAGAAAGCATTTTTCCATCTCACAGCGTTTGTCTGCTGTGACTAGGGCTGTTGCGGTGACTATATTACCGCCACACCGGCAGTCATGAGTCATGACCATAGTAAAATTCCACGTGACCGCTGAGTCACAGCAATCTCCTTTTATGCACTCTGGACATGCATTAGTACCCAACTGGCTATCGCTAATGGCCTGGTACTCAGCGCTCCATTGTCCCTCTAATCACTCTGACATCAATGCAAATGTACTAAAAAATCACATCAAACACTTATCATCAAAACAGTATTGTGCTTTTAAAACTCACCTCACAGTGATGATTAATTTGAAGAAAGAATTTCAACAACAGGTTGAAACTGAGTGGAAAACATGGTTGTTGTGGATGTTGTTTCAAAGCCTAACACCACAAAATGGACAGCGCTTTCTAAGGTGATGATTAAAGGTGCATTATGCAGCAATCGTTCTGCCATTTCTTTGTTGCTAAAATTCTAATAGTTCGCCTAATTTCTGTTTATGTGACAAAACTAGCAAGTATAGTGTAGAGCAGGGTTCTTCAATTCCAGTCCTGGAGGGCCGAAACACCTCTGTTTTTCATCCTCTCCTTCTAATCAGGGGCTTATTCAGACCTGGGACACCAGGTGAGTGCAATTAACTACCAGGTAGAAATAAAAAACAGAAGTGTTTCGGCCCTCCAGGACCGGAATTGAAGAACCCTGGTGTAGAGAATCATTGTACCATCTAAACTGCTGTGAAATATGTTTTCCTTAACCAAAAATATTGTATTTTCAGCTGTTTGAAGCTGGTGTACAAAACCAAAAGTAAAAAACGCAAAAATGAATAGCACACATAGAACAGATCTACTGCTTCTTAGACTTGCTTTCAACGAGAATGACAGATCTATAACTCAAAATTCTATGTGAATTTGGTCGGGTTGCCCAAAAAGTTACATATTGCAGCTTTAATTCAAAACACCCATATTTATATTAGAGCGTATGCATACACATAGGCCTATATATGAGCCCAAGCCCCCCCCCAAAATGAAATTAAAATAATGATTGTGCCGTTATACAATACTTAGCCTACTGCATATTACGCACGGCAGAAAAACATAAAACAAAACTGATGTAAGATGTCTTTGGTATATAATTGGTCTAACTTTCTATCAAATCAAATCAAATTGTATTGGCCACATGCGCCGAATACAACAGGTGCAGACATTACAGTGAAACGCTTAATTACAGCCCTTAACCAACAGTGCATTTATTTTTAATAAAAAAGTAGAATAAAACAACAAAAAAGTGTTGAGAAAAAAAGAGCAGAAGTAAAATACAATAACAGTAGGGAGGCTATATATACAGGGGGGTACCGGTGCAGAGTCAATGTGCGGGGGCACCGGCTAGTTGAGGTAGTTGAAGTAATATGTACATGTGGGTAGAGTTAAAGTGACTATGCATAAATAATTAACAGAGTAGCAGCAGTGTAAAAAGATGGGGTGGGGGGGCAAATAGTCCGGGTAGCCATGATTAGCTGTTCAGGAGTCTTATGGCTTGGGGGTAGAAGCTGTTGAGAAGTCTTTTGGACCTAGACTTGGCACTCCGGTACCGCTTGCCGTGCGGTAGCAGAGAGAACAGTCTATGACTAGGGTGGCTGGAGTCTTTGACAATTTTGAGGGCCTTCCTCTGACACCGCCTGGTATAGAGGTCCTGGATGGCAGGAAGCTGGGCCGTACGCACTACCCTCTGTATCCACGAGTCTGGGAGAGAACGTACAGGCCTAGGCAATGCTGTTGGTTCATTGATTGTGCAATTATATTGACTTTGTATTTGATTTTGAATATCCTAGTAATATGGCATTTATTATATTTCATAATTAATAGGCTGACACATTACCTTTAGCTACAGAATATCTCACCACTGTGCGTTTCCACATCCCCCTCTCTCTCTTTCATTCCTTTCTCAAGCACGCAGAAAGAGGGTCTGTCAACAGTTTAATGAAATATGTTTCGTTGTGAAAACTTTCGATGTTCCCGAACAGATTTCACTTTGGTTTCCCAAATTAAGCATTGGGTAGCTGCAGGAACAGGGTTGGATAGCCCACGGAATACAGAGTTTGGGCGGAATTATCCCCTTTCGCCCAGACATTTCTGTATGCAATCCCATGTGAAAAAAGAGTTTTGATGGTTGCCACTAAAAAGGGGTGGACCCCAGCTGCTACTACATTTATTTCTCAGCTGCTCATATTAAGCACATGCTCTGCCATCAAACCAAAGTAGCCTACCCAGCATCATTGAAAATCTAACCGGCAGGAAAGCGGCCTCCATTCGCTATTGGAGTGCATACGG